TAGTAAATATTTTAGAGTTGATTATAGTAAATGTTTTAGTCGATTTTAGTATGTTGTAGTGTAGTTAGTTTGTTTTAAGTTGACTTTTAGATGTATTTGTAATTAACTAAATCTGTTTTGTTTTTTTTCCTCAACATAGCTATAATATACGACTTCGTGTTTTTGTCTCTTGATTTCGTAGTTTTGGTTTTATAGAGCGGCAAAGCTTAAGGTGAACATTTCAATTGAAATTAGAATCTCCTACTCTCCACCATCATTCATAAAGGAACTATATCATATAAACAATTTGGATTTGTTACTAATCGTGTCTTATAACTTATTCATCACATATAAAAATCTATTAATGTCCGTTAGTCCCGCTAAAACTCAATAACGGATTTTCATCAAAAATTTTTGTGTATTCGAACGGGTTTTTGGATGATTTAGATTCACTAATGTATCCGATAGGTGGTGCAGTTGTCGAGTTCCAGAAATCACCCGTGCGACTCCAGGGCGGCTCGCTAGTTTTTAATATTAGATATACAAATAAGCTGACTTTAGGCTCTGAAAACTATAACGTCGTCACACCATATTCTTAAATATTTCTATAGAATTATTTATTTTGACCGCTCCTAAAAAGTATTTCGAACGACATGAGTCACTTTACATCCATTTTTTTTGTATTTACGTTTAAAGCGTATTCAAAATAACACATTAGAAATTCTTGCACTCGTTTGTATATAAAAAAGTTTGTTAGGTAAGTATATGAATGTGAAGGAAAGACGAGAATGTTTTTCTTTTATATAATTTTTTCGGCCACTAGGGCAGCGCTAAATAGGAATGGGTTGTAATGATAGATTTCCCGGGGGAGTTAAAATGTTCTGAAAACGTAAAAATGAATGTTCCTTTTTAAAATATTGATATATTTTACATTAATTCCATTAGAAATGGATAAACCAAACTACGGATATACCTCAGAGTTGAAAATTAGAAAACGAGTGAATAAAATGTGCAAACAGTTAAAGAGTAAACCACTGAGGCTTTATCTTGTGTATTTACGTACTATAGAAATTGATATACTTTTATTTAAAACGGTATTTCCTAACTATATTGATATTATATATAAATTAGTTCACCTCACTTCCAATTAGCAACATCTTGAGAATGTAAAATTATTAGCCCTCTATATTTCAAGTTCTCCAAATAGAAGTTCGCAATCTGTGCTCATTCTTCTTGGTGATATGTGTGTCAGTTTATTTTATATTTTAAGTTTAAATTATATTTCTTCATAGTCCGGTCAAGCTAGCTCCAAAAATAGAGGTGAGGTTACAATAATTCGCATAGATTCAAAATCTCTCGTTGTTTCAGGTTCTCTAAATAGAAGTTCGCAATATGTGCTAACCCTTCTGGGTGACATGTGTGTTAGTTTATTTTATATTTTAAGTTTATATGATATTTCTTGTTGGTCCGAGCAAGTTAGGTCCAAAAATAAGGGTAAAGTTACCATAATTCGCAGAAATTAACAAAGTATAAAAGTTGCGTTCTTCATAATATGCATATCAGTTGCCTTTATATACTTCATTGAGCTGTAATACAAGTAAAAATAAATAATTGTACAACAACAATTGAAAATGTAGTCAACCAAAAGTTTATTTGCTTTTTCAAAATGTCAATTATATCAATCTATATAATTATAACAATATCCCCTAATTTCATAATTTCCAGTGGTATTATTTTTATTTGATACACTATTTTTAACTAAACAGGACCATAATAGGTCGTGGAATAGGTCTACCGGGGAAACCGCGTTAAAACGCGCCAAGTACACAAAGGTGGCGTGGAAACTTTTTCAACTTTTTGAATTGCTACTTCTCCGAAATGGTAATTCTTAGGATAAAAAGTGTAAGAATAATGTTTATAGATAATTGCACAATCTGCAATTTTGTCTAAACTATTTTTATAATTAAACTTATGGTTAAGCTGAAAAATGCAAAAACCCATTTTTGCGAACTTTGACCTTAAATAAAGTTTGTTTCAGATGTGGGATCGATGGGGACATTTCACATTTCACTTTTAATGTTGTTCCCAAAATTTATGTCATTTTTTAGACATATGCGAATTATTGTAACCTTAAATGTCTTTTTATTGTACCGTATACAAAACAAGGAATGCCACGCAAATGCAGCATCGCTGACTCTTGAACCAATCATTATTAAAGCCTAATATTGAGGGTTCTAAATTCTCTGACGAACAATTTAAATATGCACCTGACATTATCATCATCTTTCCTTCTGTCATTACCAGAAACAGCTCACTGTTGAACACTGGCTTCTCATTTTGTAGAAAGGATCAGTCGCAGACACGAATCCCGACAGTCAGATTGGTGATTGTCTGAGTGGCATAAGCATATCAAATATTTCGTTTTATAAAGGCAATAATCACCGGTCTGGCTGTTTTACAAATAAGTAAGCCTCCTTCTATTAGAGATCTTACTGGTCTTTCCTCTATTCACTTCTAACGACCAAGGAGTGAAATAGGTTGATGGATGGTTTTGCTTCCATCTCACGGCGCAACAACGAACTGGAGTCCCTCTATTCTAATTGTAGTGTAGCTACCCATACACTAATCGTCGTAGACGTCGTAGCGCCACTGCATAGATATGTTGCATCTCTTTGCGTATTTTATCGCATTTAACACGGGGAGTTTATCGAGGAATTGTTCGGACTAATTCCAGCCACACAATTTCACCATCGCACATCTGGACAAAACTCGCGATATCATCCACACCATCAGGATGACTGGCGGTTCACCACTGTGCGATTTAAAAGACGTTTTCTTCCTCGCACAACTTCCTTGTGGAATCGACTACCACCAGAGATTTTTCCAGAACGATACGACTTAGGGACCTTCAAGAAAGTTCTGCAGTTCCCCTGGTGTTGCAGTTGTTCATGGGCGGCGGTAATCCCTTACCATCAGGTGAGCCGTATGCTCGTTTGCCCCCTCTACGATAAGGTAATATTTCTTAAAACGTGGCACATTCTATTTTATTTTATAATTATATAGTGTTTTTTTTTAAATAATGTAGTGTGTAAGTAAGTGGTTACTGTACTTGCAGCCAACTTCAAAAGAAGGCTACAGATGAGTTGTCACCACTGACAACCTGTAATTACTACACTGGCACACCTTTCAGACTGGAATACAGCAGTGAAAGCGTTTTTTGGGGCAGGTATTGGTAAGAGGGCAATACCTGGAGAGTATTACCTCTTTTCTGCCTGAGACGAATTCGGGCAGAAAAGAATTCATACCACCTAGTAAATATACGTAAATGTAAAAATATAATTTTTTTATTTACGCAGATTACGCAGATAGGTATGCCTTATTCTCAAACATTTCCATACCCACATCGGAAATAGTTTCCATTTTGGCAAAAAATTAAATTAGAGTATCGAAATTGGCTCGTAAGCTAGACAACCGCAATGCCTTAATCCGCAATCGACCGAGCCACTAATCTTTTAGCTTCCTGTCACCAACAATGGCGATTGAAAAAATGTTTCGGATGTGGCATAGACAGGCGACACGCTACGATTGAGATGAAACGTAGACAGCTCACAGTTAACTCTTTAAATTTTGATTGGCCAATTTCATACAGCGGATATTGGTTAGTTAGCTAGTTTTATTCACCCAACATTTCATTCGTTGACCTCCTCATTGGTCTGGAGGTTGTAGTAGTGTGACTGCTGATCATGAGGTTCTGGGTTTGAATCCCGGGTCGGGTCGAAAAAAAAATCAATGATTGAGTTTTACCGTCAAGAAATTCTCAGTAGCCGGAAGTCAGGAAGCTGTCGGTGATTCACCCCCGTACCTCGGAAAGAACGTGAAGCCGTTGGTCCTGCACCTGGTCTCTCTCCGGTCATGTCAGCTTACCGTCCCATCGGATTATGAGAGTGAGGGAATAGAGAGTTTGGATGGCAATGATTCTGTCCTGCGTTGATGGCTAGTCTCCAAGGTTAGTCGCCAGCGGTTCGCCGTGACCGAAAGTCAGTTTAGGGGACATTATTATTAATTATTATTTCATTCGTTACTTCCTATTAAAGGTCCACTTCTTAACATAGACCTACCCCATTGAATGTCTCATAGGGTGGCTAGTGACCATAGTTGCTGAGCTCGGCAGGTGAGCTGGCAAAGGTAGTTTTTTTTTGTTATTTTGAGTTATTATCAGAAATATACTCCTGCCCATTTGCATTTTCATTTACCTCTGTTGCCTCTTACAACACCCACAGTACGCTTTTGTGTCGTATAGATTCTATTACGCCGTCACTGCACGGCTTGTTTTATTAAGAAGGGATTAGAAAAAACTAACGTAGGCTGGTGGTGATGGTAAGTTATTACTGGATACAGTAGCACAGTAGTAATAGATACGTACTACATCTTATCACCGACGTCAGGAGCTATTTCTTGGATATTTTTTTTTTAGTTTTTAAGTCGTTTTTGCGTGTTAATCAATGTTTAATTACAGATATGTAATAAGAAATTTGACAGCAAAATTTGTTTGATACCTATGCTGAGCGAATTAATTAAATATAATAGTTTATATTTTATTTTACTTTATACGTGGTAGAGCCATGTTACAGCTCCGTTATGGCTCCGCAGAATACCAGTGTAAAATACCAGCTCAATGCTGCTGTTTTTGGTATGCTGAGTTAGAGAACCGGAGGTCACTTTTACTTGATACGAGGCATTCCATGTTAATCTTCAGGGGTGCTAACACATCTGCATTTCATCTGATTTTCTTTATTTGAGGATAGTCAAATATCTATGGGCCATAGCATCTACTTACCATTAAGTGGACTGTGTGTTCGTTTGTCACCCTTATTTTAGAAAAAAAATTATATCGATCTAATAATGAGTATAGAAAATAATTCTCAATATTTATTTTATTTTAATGAAAGAAGCAATAATAATATAATAATAATATATCTTTTGTTTAAGATATCCTTCATAGAGGTGATCTGTCATCGTCGATGGAATCATTGGCTTACGATTCTTCTGTAGCTTCCCCTGGCAGCGTATCAAGTCACACACAGCGTACCAAGCGTATGCGTACCAGTTTCAAGCACCATCAGTTACGCACTATGAAGTCATACTTCGCAATCAACCAGAATCCTGACGCTAAAGACTTAAAACAACTGGCTCAAAAAACAGGATTATCGAAGAGAGTTTTACAGGTTTGTTTAATTAAAATATAATAATTTACAAATTGTTTAGATAAAAACGTTGTGACGTTGGTTATGTATCTACGAAGAAGGATTTTTACCGACCTCAAAAAGGAGGAGGTATTCAATTCGACTGTATGTTTTTGTGTGTGTTATCGCAGAACTATTTTATGGGTGAACCGATTTAGATGATTCTTTTTTATCTGAAAGAGGGTGCCTCGTGTGGGCCCATATAAATATAATGAAGATCTGACCAGTAGACTTTGAGTTATTTTTCATAATGCGTAATTAATCGACTACGAATACATTGGTGATGTTTTCATTTTAATTATATTGAAGTCGGTTGTACAACATTTTAAAATTTAACCACTTGTACAGATTTAATATTGTTCTTATAAAATGGTTTTAGCGACAATTATATTATAATTTATAATGATTTACAGTTTTAAAATATGTATTGTGTAAATTGTAATGCATGTAATATATATATGTATATATATATATATATATATATATATATATATATATATATATATATATATATATATATATTGTCATGGCACGTTATGGCTGCCAATACAGAATTATAGTGTACGAGTGCATACATGCATACCTCACTCTTATGCTACGATGGCATGAAAATCCGATACAAACTAAGAGAGATAAGGTGCAGGACCAAAACATACACGTGCTATCCGAAACATCGGGTTTAAATACCGCCAACTTACTGATTCCTGCCTCCTACTGAAAATTCGATAGAAAAACCTAATAACTATATTTGGCCCGACACGAGATTCATAACCGAGACCTCGTGATAAATAGATCAACGTATCAGTCGGTAAATATCATAGTGCTATATTTATAGCCAAAAATATTTACTACAGCATTTCTATTTGGTAGGATTCTTACAAATGGATTGCACTTTAAACGTTATTTAATGTTTTGTAATACTGATATCTATACATTTATGTAGGTGTGGTTTCAAAACGCACGAGCTAAATGGCGTCGGAACATAATGAGACAAGAATCCAATCAACACGGACCGATGACCCCAAATGGTAATCCAGGACATTCCGGAAACGCGTCATTAGTAACTGGGACGGTACCACCAAACAGCGTTACGGGTAGTATGATGATAGGTGAATCTTTACAACCTTTGGATGACATGAGAGTTCATACTCCACATCCGATTAATTTTAATGAATTATACTGACAGTCAGTCGAAAGAGAGAAGGTGTAAATGCAAAATTACATCTTCTTGGAACTTAACGCTATTATTAAACGAGTATAAAATATTTATTCTGTATATTTAACATTTAACATGTGTGGATATGGGATTACATATTGCTAATTGTCTAAGTAATAATGACATGTAACATTCCATATTGATTTAGATCTTTCCTAAGGAATTTATGTATATAAAGTGATACTAGTCAACCATAGCTCATAGACTTTAATAAGAAATTTACTGAGGCGGAAAGAAATACCATTTTCATAATTTTCGAAACATTTCGAATAGCTTCGCTTTTACACAATATTCCAAATAGAGCATCGTTATTGTGTTTGATTAAATGTATGTTACCTTAAAACAAACTTTACTGTATCATGTAACTGCAACACCGAAACTGCTGAGGTTCTATTAGGTGTCCACTTCTGCATTTTTATGCGGTAGTACTAAATGATTTCCTACAAATTGGGTTTGGTGTTCCTTTGCTCTTTCACTGACATGACAATTATTGTCTAGATTCTTACCTTACATAAAAGGTTAACAGTCTGTAAGCTGTGTAACATAAGTATATGGCCTGGGAAAAGTTTCTTCGTATTTTATATATAAATTCAAGACAATTTTTTAAAGTTTAATTACATTTGATTATAATATATGCGCCATTTGTAGCCATCTTGTAAGTAATGACATAATTCCGTTTCTGTAGAAAACTTGGGATTTTTGATAAAAAAATGCGACATGTACTCGTAGTTATGACAGTGCTATCTTGATGTTAACCTAACACTACCCAAAGAATTCTGAAGATACTGTAGCAGGTGAAAATCTGAGGGTGCAAAGTCAGGAATATATGATGGATGAATTAATACTTCCCAACCAAGCTCTCTCAATTTTTGCTGAGTAGCCATGCTGGTCTGGCGTTATCATGAAGAAAGACGACTCCTTTTTTGTTGATTAATCCTGGCCGTTTTTTCTCAATTTCTTGCTTGAGTCTCATAAGCTGTTGTAAAAGCTCATAATAAACGCTGCCCTTCCAATCCCACCATACACCCTGCGTCACCTTATTGCGTGTTAATCCTGGGTTTGCTACAGTCTTTGGAGCTTGACTACCCTTTGACCATGATCTTTTTCGCACGTTCTTCGATCCACTTATCTCTAGTTATCAATGTTTAAAAAAAATGGTTTGTTTCATTACGTTTCTATAGAGATAACAAATGAGTACAGTATTCATTAGGTTTCTTTCAGTGACCTCGTGTGGTACCCAAATATCGAGCTTTTTGTTTAGCCAGAATTTTTCAAATGGATGGATATTGTTTTGTGGTCAATTTTCAATACCTCAGCTATGTCGTAACTGCTAATATATCGATCTTGCTCAATTTTTTTTAAAAAATGGCATCGAATTTAACCGTAGGAGGGCAACCAAAGCGAGCTGCATCTTCGACATCAAAATTCCCGGACTGAAAACGCTTGAACTAACTTTGTGCTACTCCTGTTGACACTGCATTAATTCCATAAACGTCACAATAGTCGCATTTTTACTTTTTTTTATAATAAAACTTCAGAATGTATCGAATTTCTTCATTAGATACACTCATTCTGGCGGACAGAAAAACAATAGATAAACGGCGGGGAAGTATATTTTACTTTTTCCTTTTCTTAATGCCCTATATGTATTGATATTAAAACCAGCTGAATACAAACAGCACAACCAATATTAACCATACATGTTTCTTCAATTTTATACAAACGAAATACGAAGAAACTTTTTCCCGGACCTATTATTAGTGGCATATCCATTTATTTATAAATGCTGTGTTTCCATTTTCTGCTCTGTGATATCAGCCATTGCTAATAAATAAATAACTTGTAGCCAACGCGTAAGTCGCTTGTGGTTTCTTAGTATCCAATGACAGCAGAATTAAAGATAAATGTACTGGAAAGTTGTATAAAAAAAGGTTCAGATGTAGTTATAGGAAAGAAATTTATAAGAAGAAAATTAGAAAGCTTGCTCCTGTGTACAAGGCACTTAATAAAGTGTTAAATGAGTTTAAGTTTAATTTATGAAGTCGATATTGAGAGACTATCCACGTTTTTAAACTGTTTAAAAACTTCTTATTAAAAAAAAAACTAAATGTGCCAATATTTAATTATTGTTATTAAAGTTTTCAGTGTTTTGTTTGTATAATTGAAAGGTAAATCAAATTGTTCAAATTATTTAAGTTGTGTTGTGTGTTAAAGAAATAAAAAATGATGCATTTACTAATTTTAATTCCTTGAATGATTTAAAGTTGTGAGTTAAGAATTGTTTGTTCTTTAGTTTCTATTTTTTTTTGCTTACTTATGCATAAAATTCTCGAAATAGCATAATCGTAAATATACACGAAATCACTGTATTGAAATTATGCAATGGAAATTAAACGTTAAACATGTAACATAAAACGTAAGGACACTAAAATAGGTACTACTATCACTTAATATTAGTATTAAATATCTACCTATTTATGTAGTTAGCAACTTAGTTCATAACATATTTATACATGAAACTCATAATATATTGAAATCATATTAAGATAAAAATGTTTTATTTTAAGAACCTCATTTATCGCAATACTTTAAGTAACTTTTTGTACTTAAAGTATTGCGATAAATGAGTAACTTATAACTAGCAATTCTCCCTCACCTCGTCCGGCTAAGTTCTACGTATTAACATGAGGTCACTTGTATAATTTTTTTGGTTTCACAAAAATATCTTCAAGTTTTTTCTGTTAATTTATAGCCTAAATAACTACTGGAACTGCTTTTTACGTGTTCGTGAAGTTTCATCATCATCGGTTCTGCCGGACAGACAGGCAGATATACTATAAAAATGGTTAAACACGTCTTACTGGCATGAAAATTACCACTGATCTTAAAAAAGGAGTTATTTCAATATTACTACTCTCACAGTAGTACATCCTACAGTAGTAGCGTCTCTAAAGTCGCTCTCATCACTTCAGTAATCTAGTTTCACGAAAACTAAATCATAGGACGATACAAGTTTCTGCAAAAAACTATTATATTTTTATATGAAAAAGAAACACAAAATATAACAACAAATAAATGTTTTTTTTTTTAAATTCAGTACTATCCAAAGGTAATCCTTATGAATGATATAAGGTAGTATTAAAACTTTCTACGTGTGTCGTAAGAGGTGACAGTGAAAAGAGGAAACAGGCTTGTTGTTTTAGACAGGCAGCTACCCGTCGATAACAACTCAATAGTAAAAACTGCGGCTACCAAACTACTACTAACTATGGCAAATGTGCCCGCTATGTGGCAATCTATGGGGAAGGTCTATTCGGCAGGGGAATTTTGGAAGGCTCTAATAATAAATGATGATTTATTACAGTGGCGTAAAAATACTTGCAAATGTTCTGGCTCTGTTTTGCTTTAAACTTGTGCGGCTTCACCCACCACTTTTATATCAACCGATAACGCTTTAAAAAAATAATATCAAAGACACATATTAATTACTCATGAACTTCCACATTACCATTACGTACACACAAACAAATAGTGACATGTGTACATTATGGTATATACCAATTCCTCATCATCATCATCATTACATCCCCTCACAAGTCCACTGCTGAACATAGGCCTCCCCCAAGGTATGCCACAAAGTACGGTCCTGAGCCACCTGCATCCATCGGCTTCCTGCATGTGTTACCAGGTCGTAACTTCATAAAGTGGGAAGTCACCCAACACTTCGCCTACCGGTACGAGGCTGCCACTCGAGAACCTTTTTTTTCCCAACGGTTGTCAGTTCTTCGAGCTATATGCACATTGCCATTTCAGCTTACTAATCCGTTGGGCTATGTCGGTCACTCTCGTTCCATTGCGGATATCCTCATTTCTAAGTTTATTACGCAGAAAAACCCCGAGCATAGCCCTCACCATAGCTCGGTGAGCGACTTTGAGCGTCCTCATACGGCCGGCAGTGAAGGACCACGTCTCAGTTCCATATGTCATTACTGGCAACACGCACTGGTTGTACAATTTCGTTTTCAGGTTTTGAGGCATACCTGGCGAGAAGATGCAACGTAATTTCCCGAACGTTGCTCAGCCGAGTTGAAACCGTCGATTGACCTCTCAGTCGAAGTTGGACTTACCTAGTCGGACTATTTGTCGCAAGTAAACGTACTCGCCAACAACTTCGAGCATAGTGCTCCCAACAACTATCGGCACAGGTGTGACATGGACATTAAACATGATCTTTGTTTTGTCCATGTTCATCTTAAGACCTATCCGTTGGGAGGCACTATTGAGGTCATTGAGCTTAGCGCTTAGGTCCTCCAGCCATTCTGCCATAAAGATCATACCGTCGGCAAATCAAAGGTGAGTGATGTACTCGCCATTGATGTTAATACCGTATCATTTCCAGTCCAGTAGCTTGAAAACGTCTTCCAATGCAGCGGTGAAGAGTTTCGGGGATATAACCAATTACTCAGTAGTCATTTATGTTAAGTCACTAAGGATAAGCGTTTTACTCTTATGAAATAATAATTAGTGCAAATATAGGTGCAATTATCCCGACTCAAAACAATATGTAATTGTTCTGAGTCGGGATATTAGTTAATGTGCAAATTGTGTAGGTATGTGAGATAATGCTAGATTCGAGACATGTTAGGAAAAAAATTAAGTATAAATATGAACGACTCTAATATTAAAAGTTATAGTTTATTCGTTTAAGTGAGAAATGCGGACTAATGCAATCTTATTTTAGTGTATATAATAAAAAAATAATCGTATTAAAATATTAGTTTGTAGCTTCAGAAAAATCTGTTAAGATAGTCGTCAAAATTCTGTTATTTCAAAATCATTAAAAAATTGACATCCCATTATAAATCTAGTGAAGATATTTTAACAAGATGGCGTGGCTCGCGATTTTCGGTAGCTGCCGAAGCGATCCGTATCGATAAATCTTTAAATGATGTATTCATGCATGGAGT